AAAATAAAGTACATTCACAATTGAGAATTGTGATAAAATCAATGTATAATAAAATTTAAAATTAATTATATTATCTATTATTAATTTTTTAATTAATGATTATTATTATACTATAGTTTATAAAACGCAATTTTCTTACTTTCGAAAATCAAATTCATTTTAATTACATCATATTTTTCTCTTTATATTTGATTTAAATATTTATCTAATTTTATAAATTTTATTTTTTTAATCTTTATAGTTAAAAGTATTTCATTTTAACTCTTTTACATGTCATTTTGTTTCTTTTGTAATTTTATAAATTTTATCTTTTATTCCTTAATTATGCCAAATAGACATCAGAAACTAAAAAAATAAAAATGATATGTACAATAGAGGTGTTAAAAATGGTCAAGTCCAACTGTCTAACCCAATGAATTGTCGAAACATACTCAAATATTTAAGGGTGCGTGGGTTGAAAAGAAATTGGATAAACTGATTCGGTTTAAAGCAACAAATTTTGAACCTAAAATGTGGCTTATAAAAGTTCAATTCACATACAAATATTAGCTAGAAAATGTATTTATAGCTTTAAATTTTATATCTCTGCGGTGTCCGAAATTAAAAAAATAGTGTAAAAAGTATGGATGGAAATAGGAGTAGCTTTTAAAAGTGTAGGTTATGAAATAATAAAGTGAAATGAAAAAGAAAGCGATAATAAAGAATGTATGTTAAGGGGGAGTACACTGTTACATGTCCTGGGAGAGTATAATATACATGCAGTGATGTTATTCTTTGATGAAGAAGTAGTGGTAGTGGAGTATAAACGTAAAGCCTCTTTACCAAAGATGTTCACTTCTCCCAGCAGTACTTGAGCCAGCAAGAACCTGCTTTTTCATCATCAACCCTTGTCACTGCTTCTCCCAACTCATCCACTCAACCCTTTCCATCTTATATACATCTCTTACACCCTTCTCCTCCTTGCAATAACCCTTTACACTAACCACTCTCAAAATGAACCACCCCTTCACCACCCTCTTCGCTACTATAGTAACCATACTCATTGTTTCCACCACCACCGTCTCACAAGCTATCACCACCAACAATCAGACACACTTTTTCTCTCTCATCAAGGACTCTCTCACGGGAAAATACCCTCTGAACTGGGATGAAGCCAAAGCAGTGTGCGACTTCACCGGGGTTACCTGCAACACCGAGGGTGACGTTATCAACCTCGACCTTTCAGGTTGGTCATCACTCTCCGGAAAGTTCCCTTCAGAAACATGCTCCTACCTCCCACAACTACGTGTTCTACGCCTCGGCCACACCAGGTTCAAGTTCCCCATAGACACCATCCTCAACTGTTCCCACTTGCAAGAGCTTAACATGAACCACATGTACCAAACCGGCACACTCCCAGATTTCTCTTCCTTAAAGTCTCTTAAAATTCTCGACTTGTCCTATAATCTCTTCACAGGCCAGTTCCCCATGTCGGTGTTCAACCTCACCAACCTCGAGGTGCTTAACTTCAACGAAAACGGAGGCTTCAACCTGTGGAAGTTACCAAATGATATAGACAAACTCAGAAACCTCAAGTCCGTGGTGCTCACAACGTGCATGGTGCATGGCCAAATCCCTGCGTCCATAGGGAACATAACTTCCCTCATAGATCTCGAACTCAGTGGGAACTTTCTCACGGGACAAATTCCGAAGGAGCTTGGACAACTGAAGAACCTGCAACAGCTTGAGCTTTACTACAACTACCACCTCGTTGGGAACATTCCAGAAGAGTTGGGGAACCTCACGGAGCTCGTGGATTTGGACATGTCAGTGAACAAGTTCACTGGGAGCATCCCTGCCTCGGTGTGTAGGCTTCCCAAGCTTCAAGTCTTGCAACTCTACAACAACAGCCTCAGTGGTGAAATCCCAGGTGCGATTGAAAACTCAACAGCTTTGAGAATGTTGTCTCTCTACGACAACAACCTTATAGGACATGTTCCCACGAAATTGGGACAGTTCTCGAGGATGTTGGTTCTTGACTTGTCGGAGAACCGTTTATCTGGTCCCTTGCCAACCGAGGTTTGCAAGGGTGGTACGCTAGAGTACTTTCTCGTTCTTGATAACATGTTTTCTGGTGAGATACCACAAAGTTACGCCAACTGCATGATGCTGTTGAGGTTTAGAGTTAGTAACAACCGTTTGGAGGGCTCCATTCCCGAGGGGCTCCTTAGTTTGCCACACGTTTCTATCATTGACTTGAGTAGCAATAATTTGACCGGTCCAGTTCCTGAGATTAGCGGAAATTCTAGAAACTTATCTGAACTGTTCCTCCAGGGGAACAAGATTTCAGGTGTCATAACTCCCACTATCTCCCGAGCTATTAACCTAGTCAAGATTGATTTCAGTTACAACCTTCTGTCTGGTCCAATTCCTTCTGAAATTGGCAAGCTGAGAAGGCTTAATTTGCTTATGTTGCAAGGGAACAAGTTGAGTTCTTCCATCCCAAGTTCACTCTCCTCGTTGGAGTCTCTCAACCTTCTTGATCTCTCCAATAATCTTTTAACTGGGGGCATCCCTGAAAGCCTCTCTGTGCTGCTACCAAACTCTATTAACTTCTCTCACAACCTTCTCTCGGGTCCTATTCCTCCCAAACTGATCAAAGGAGGTTTGGTGGAAAGCTTTTCAGGGAATCCTGGTTTGTGTGTGTTGCCTGTGTATGCTAATTCATCGGATCAAAACTTTCCCATATGTGCAAGTGCCTACAAGAGTAAGAGGATAAACACCATATGGATTGCTGGGGTGTCAGTGGTTTTGATTTTTATTGGCTCTGCCTTTTTTCTCAAACGAAGGTGCGGCAAAGACACGGCTATAGTGGAACATGAGGACACGCTGTCTTCGTCGTTCTTCTCTTATGATGTTAAGAGCTTCCATAAGATCTCTTTTGACCAAAGGGAGATTCTGGAGTCCTTGGTGGATAAGAACATTATGGGGCATGGAGGGTCTGGGACAGTCTACAAGATTGAGTTGAAAAGTGGTGATATAGTTGCAGTGAAGAGGCTGTGGAGTCGCAAGTCCAAGGATTCAGCTCCTGAGGATCGGTTATTTCTGGACAAGGCGTTGAAAGCAGAGGTGGAGACATTAGGCAGCATAAGACACAAGAACATAGTGAAACTCTACTGCTGCTTCTCCAGTTTGGATTGCAGTTTGTTGGTTTATGAGTACATGCCAAATGGTAATCTTTGGGATTCCCTGCACAAAGGTTGGATCCTTTTGGATTGGCCTACTCGTTATAGAATTGCACTGGGGATTGCACAGGGTTTGGCATACCTCCACCATGATTTGCTTCTCCCTATTATCCATCGAGACATTAAGTCAACTAATATCCTGTTGGATGTTGATTACCAGCCTAAGGTTGCAGACTTTGGGATTGCCAAGGTTTTGCAAGCAAGAGGAGGCAAGGATTCCACAACAACTGTTATTGCAGGAACATATGGTTACTTAGCTCCAGGTAGCTTCTCTCACCAAAGTCAATTATAATCATCATTTAAATCTCAAGAAAGAATTAATGTATGCAATTTAGTTACCATGTTATGTTTTCCAATATTGATCAATGTTGACTATGTATAGCATTTGCCTTTTGTGAAGCCAAAAGTACTGCTTGGATATTCTCTTTGTACTGATTAATAAATGCTGCCTTTTTACCATGTTAATAATTGAGGACACCTTATAAATTTTAAACATAAGTAGTAGTACTTTGTACCAAAAAATAATAGATGGTACTTGGGGGTTGGACAATTAGTCATGTGGTAACTTCTATATGTTGAATATTTATTTCTACTTGTTTTCATGGCTGTCACAGAATTTGCATATTCATCAAGGGCCACCATCAAGTGCGATGTCTACAGTTTTGGGGTGATTTTGATGGAACTGTTAACTGGGAAGAAGCCTGTGGAGGCAGAATTTGGAGAGAACAGAAATATTGTTTTTTGGGTTTCCAACAAAGTAGAAGGCAAGGAAGGGGCTAGACCAAGTGAAGTGTTTGACCCAAGATTATCATGTTCATTCAAGGATGATATGATCAAAGTGTTAAGGATTGCCATTCGCTGCACCTACAAAGCCCCAGCAAGTAGACCAACCATGAAAGAGGTTGTTCAGCTTCTGATTGAGGCAGAGCCACGCGATTCGGATTCTTGCAAGTTGTCTACCAAAGATGTATCAAATGTCACCGTATTAAAGAAACCATATGAATTATAATTTGAGTAGCATAAATAGTGAGAGGGAGCATATATGACAACTAAGATAAGCAGTCTCTCAAGATGTAAATGAGAGACTCATTGTAGAATAGAGAAGAAATTAGTGTAATCCTTTTTCTAGACAAGTAGTTTGTAGATTCTATCTTTGACTCTATATTGCTGCTCCCTTTTACTATCTTTGAATTTTGACTTTTTGTAAAAAAAATTGCAGTCAGATTGCTATCCAAGCTTTAAGGTAATGTACAGTATCTATATTTCATAGGCCCACACTTGAAAGCATTTGCCAACTTGCTTTGTGGAATTTTGGTTTTTCTCCTCTTCTATCAACGCTTTTATTTTGAGCGATGCAAGATGGCTCCAATAAAAGGAGCATATGTTGTGAGGACTGGAAGGTCGTGATTCGCAAATAGCTCTTTTTTAATATTTTGCACAAAAAAAAATCAAAATGGGTTCCAGATTCTGAATACAATATTATGGCATTATTTGTAAGTGGGGGGTCCCCTTACCAAAGCTATATCCACTGGAAAATAAAGATGAATGGAATGATTGATTGATGAGAGCATCTTGTTGCCATTTTAGCCAGGGAAAGAGAAGAAAGC